TGTGGTTGGTGGGAGTGTTTTGTCATTTTACATGTTGGGATGTTAATTAAATTAGCAAACCTAGGTTTTTTATAAATTTTTAAATTTTACCTGTAATACTCCCCTATTCAACTACCCAATATTATTCCCAAAATCCTATCTAAATAATAAACCAAACGCACCCTTGATTCTTGAAATCTACAATTTTTTACCGTTTGTTTGTGGGGCCCTACCATCTACAAGTTTTTTTCTCTTTTCTCTTTTCCTTTTTTCTTCTTCTTCTTTCACTAGTTTGTCTTCTTCAACCACTACCACAACTCTTCTTCCACCTGCATCTACAAGTTTTTTTCTCTTTTCTCTTTCTTCTTCTTCTTTCACTAGTCGTCTTCTTACAACCACTGCTACAGCTCTCTCTTCCACCACAATCAACCTCATAGCTGTTCAACCTCTTGCGAAGCTCAAATTAAGCCGATATGAACTATTTCAGCGCACAACTCCTATTTATTTCACATACGACTCATGTGAGTTTGTTTATGTATTGTGTTTATTCTGTGGTTTTGTTGTTATATATTGTGTTGTGTGTGTGTGAGTGAGTGATTGTAGTAAAGTTTCTAGCAGAGTATGTATAGGATTGTGAAGTGAGCAACCGAATACTTCGATTCTCAATCTCTTCACGTACCTTATTAATGACACCCCCTCTGCCATATTTGCAACTCTAAAGACCCGTTACCCCTTCATTCCATCATCACCAGATCTCTTTCACACCACAACCTAATTTGTATTGTTACAGAAGAAGGTGTGAATTTGATGGATTTTGTTGGTGTAATGGTGTTTTTACTTTTTAATTTTGTGTTTTCATAAAATAAAATTATCAAATAAAATAGAAAAACTAAAATAAAACATACACAAAAATAAAAAGTTGAAAAAAACAAATAAAAAACCCACCCAAATGCCTGGACATCACTTCAATAATACACACATCATAGGCGAGTGCCACATATCTGAGATGGCGTGTGATGGTACATGGGTGCTCTTCTTGAGGCGGTTGATTTCACAACAATCAGAGTGGGTGTTGTGGTTTCTTAAGGAGTGTAGCTATAGCTTGGGTTGGGGAGGGGGAAAAGTGGCGAATGGCGATGGTTGGGTTTCGAGGGTTGTTGCAACTGAGAACCAGAGGAGGATTGATGAAGGGGGAGCCACAAGATTGGCGAAGGGGGGAGTTGAGTGTTACGAAAAAAGGAAAAGACAAAAGAAAAAAGAAAAGCCAGTGGTGAGAGGAAAATTTTAGGAGTAAATAACTTTTGGGAAAAAAAGAAAAAAAGAAAAAGAAAGTGAGTGGTGAGTGTTGGTGTGGCGGTGAGATGGAGAAATTTTAAGAGTAAAAAAATGTTGGAAGAAAAATAAAAAATTTGTTTGTTCATTATTCCAAATATTTTTTTTAGGATTTGTCTAACTATATATTTGGTTTGCAGATTGAACGTCGTAATTTGGGCATAAGAACAAATTACAATCATATGAACAATGTCAATATAATTTGGCCCCACGTCGTAGGATTGATTACTACTTTCAGCAAAAAGAGGAAGTTTCGATGTTTTTCCAGACTTGGAGTCCGGCATACACCTTGTTGGTCAACACTACCTGTAGCTGCCCGTCATTGACGCTTCAAGTAGTGTTGGATAGAACGAGGTACAATTTATCTGTGTTTAGTTTATACAGTTTAAATGTGCATATGTTGTTGGTGATGTGTTTGCTAATTATACGAGGTCTCAATCTTGGTTGTCGTTCTCACCGTACGTCATTAGATGGGTGATACTGTCAATGGTCCACTTGAGATGACCCTAAATTCGAAAAATAAAAATTAAACAAAGAAGAATAATTCATATTCACCAGCTTTCCCATATATCATACAAGATGAATCAAATTGAGCTCATTCACATAAGAATTTAATTTAATAATTATATACATGTTTATGATATAGTTTTGTCTTTTTATTCCTGTGATACTGTCCAATTTTTATTTTTTTTAAATTTCTAAATATAAAAATAACAATACATATACATCCACCGGTTTCTCCCTAGATTGTGGTAGCGGTGGATTCATCAAAAATAAAAAAGAATAGGCTATCTCCATTATGAAATATAAGAAAGTAGTTAAAGTTGTAGCTCTAAAGTCTCAGCCTTTAATTTAATTTGTTCCCCACATAAACAAATGTGGCAATCATTATCGAACATGGGTGCCACCCCATTCTTTCAAACCTTTATTCATCTCTCTAACTCAACTTCACCAACTCCCTTCCCTTTATCAATTCACTTGAATATATAAATCACACTCATGCCACCTTGTTCCACAGCAAGCCCTACTTCCCCAACAATGGCTTCATTCACAAACTCAGTCTCAGCCTCTATTTTTGTGTTCCTTTTGATCACCTCAAGTTCCCAATCCTATTCAGCTTATAGCAGTCTCACGCCTCGAAACAGCGGCGGCTACAAGTGCATGGTGAACCAATTTTTTGCTCCTCACAACGCCGCGCGCGCTGCCATGAGGATGCGCCCGTTGCAGTGGGATTATAAGCTGGAAAACTACGCAAAGTGGTATGCGAATCAGCGGAGGTACGATTGCGCGTTGCAGCATTCGAATGGACAGTACGGGGAGAATATTTTCTGGGGGAGCGGGGAGGATTGGACTCCGGCGCAGGCGGTGGCTGCATGGCTGTCGGAGAAGAGTTCGTATGATTATTGGTCGAATTCGTGCTTGGGGGGAAGTGAATGTGGGCATTATACGCAGATTATTTGGAGTAGGACGAGGAGAATTGGGTGTGCCAGAGTGGTGTGTGAGGATAATCAAGGCGTTTTCATTACTTGCAACTATGATCCTCCTGGTAATTTTATTGGAGAAAGGCCTTATTAAATTATTATGAGGACGATGGAGATGAAGATGAAGATGTTTCAGAAAATTTTGGAAGTGTTTTTTTTATTTATTCTTGTTTTTTGTTCTCTGAAAATAGAGAATGGTGAATAGTTTGTGTCATGTAAATGGCTTATGGCTTTGTGAGATCGACTTCTTTGTTTGCTTATTTTCAAGTATGATTTTGTTATGTTAATATTCTGATCTCGCAAAGAGCAATAAAGAATAAAATAAATAAAGTTTTTCGTTTTTTATTATAAAGAACAGTTTTCGTTCACATTAAACAGAATGTTTCTCCTCATAATCCTTAAACTGCTATCATTTTCTTTCCTATGTTTATAAATTTAATTTTTTTTTTTAATTACATTTATGGGAGGATGGTTCATGTTTTTTTATTTTTTGTTAATATTGTGAAACAATTTTTGTTATGGAATGATCATCAACTCAGTTCCCAAGGGCAGCTCCTTTTACATATCATGGAGATCGATTAAACACCTGGAAAGAAAGGAGGAGAAGATAAAATGAGATAAAGAGATAAAATGGGGCCATTTTCCAGACAAGTATATTATATGGGTTCCAGCAATGAAGGGAAAATCAAGAGTTGCAAAATTATTTGTTGAATGTAAGGCTTCAGTTTCATGCCCATTTGCAATCTGAAACCTGGAAATAAACTTTGGCTGGGGGTATACGTCCGCCAAAAGTATAATCTCAACACCCTTTTGACCTCTAAATTATTCATAATTCTAAAAATAATTTAATATCCCCTATCAAAATTTGATTTGTAAATACTTGATTTTGTAGAAAATAAGATATTTTCTTATGAACTTGCAACATATTATGATTATTTTTTATGAATTTTTTTTTTTAAAGAATTAGTATTGGCTACATTTGATTTCTTTTTTCTTTTATTAATTTGAAGATGAATTAAGTAAAAATTCTTAACAAAAAATATTGATAGAGTTTAATGGAATTTCCGCTAAGGTTGACTTTATTAAAAATTTTCTTCAAGGATATCAGAAATAACAATCTACCCTCTTTTGTCATTACTCTGATCAGTGACTAATTCATTTTACATTTAGGATAATATATAAACTTTTTATACAAACTCTCACACCAATTTATGTGTTTTAAGATAATTTGGTGAATTTAAAATTAAAAATAAATTAAACAAATAAGGGAGATTACATGTCAAATATATAGGGTTGTCACATTCGTTTGTGGGAAATAGTTTGTATATGTAGCATTATTATTATTATTATTATTATTATTATTTTTTTGTAACCAACATGTTTGAATCAGTTTACACGCACCTCGACTAATCATTGTGAGAGACTAATGCAGCAACCCACCGTCACGACCCCCCCACATAAGTTATAGATGCTTAGATGGTGAACCGAATTTGAGATCGTATGTCTATCCATACTATCTCTAATTCACTCTAACCATCTGGACTACCAATAGATGATATATGTATATGCAGCATTACTCCTACACTTAATCCGTTAAATTAAATACCGAATTCTCTATTAAATTAAATACTGAATTCCTAATGGAATATCAAAGCCCTAAGTGAGTCTAGTTCGGATAGTAGTTTTCCTTTTGCCTGTTAGATCTATCTTTTATTTAGTCTGGTTTGTCATAGTTCATTATTCTTAGCGTTGTGACTTCTATCTTCTTTTCTTCCCCCTTGCATCTATCTATTAGATAATCTTTTTGTTATCATATTGTCTTTTCCCTGGTATCTTTTTATCACTAGCTAAATATAGGTCTTAGATCCTAGTTGAATGTTTGATAACTAGCCTTCGCTTTCCTCCCTTTAGAATATCACTTATGATTGATAGTAGTTAGAGTTATACTAATAGGAAGCTAGGCTATATTTGGAATTGTCTTCTGTTATTAGGTAAGTGATCGGACTTGGTTCAAATGTCTTTCTAATAGATTTTCTTTTAGCTCCTCTTCTTGGGTAAATCCTTATTTCCTTCAGCGGGGGGTGCAGGGGAAGGGGATGGGGAGTGAATATTAATACTTACTTTCTAATAAAGCTATCACTCTACACTAGTTCTCATCATAAAACACAATTTTATTTACTTTAGTCAAAACTTTAAATATATAATCAAGAATACATGCAAATTAAAGATTTATCTAAACTTCCTTATCTTCTTCATATATAGTTGGCTAACAAAATATAAGAGTAATATGACTCTAACCACACCAAAAACAATCATATTCATACATTAATTAACTGTGACTACTGTTAAATCCACAGCCACACTATATTTTTAGTGTACCTTAACCCACACTCAATTTGACACTAATTAAGAATTTTACAATAATCAAATTAATCTTCCCTAACCCACAATCAATACGGCCTCTCACCAATATAATTCCCCGGCGGATCATAATTACAAGTCATAAACACATCCCCATCGTCGCAAACAACACGAGCACACCCAATTCTTCTCGTGTTACTCCACACAATTTGCGTATAATGCCCGCACATTTGCCCCGCCTCGCAGCTGTTGGTGGCGTACGTGTAATATTTCTCTTCCGCAGCCCATGCAGAAACGGCGTCGCTGGGCGTCCACGTCGCGCCGCTGCCCCAATAGATGTTCTCGCCTAGCTTGAAATCGTCTTCCGGGAACGAGTGTTGCAGCTTGCAATCGGTTTTTCTTTGGCCCGCCCACCACCTCGCGTACTTCTCGAGCTCGAAATCCCACATCAGAGGGAGCTCCCACTTGGCGGCTCTGACTAAATTGTGGGCGAACAGGAACTGGAGAGCCTCGCCGATGCAGCCCCAGCAGAGTTGCTTGGAGATTTTGTAGATGGTGGCGTTGTCGGGTGGTTTTGCATGGGGAGTTTGTGGTGTCGGAGATGACTGAACTGAGAGAATGAAACACAGAATGAAGAGAAGCAGTAGTTGGAGTTTCATTTTTTTTTTTTTTAAGTTCTTGGTGGAGAATTGCTGAAGTACAAGAGACAGTTAAAGTGTTTATATAATTCCAAGAAGAAGTTCATGTTTTGGCTTCATCTGAAGAAGAAATGAATCACCATTATTGAAAGAGTTATAATTGGTGTATCACGGGACATTTTAGTGTCTTCACATCACATCACTCGTATATAGAAATTTAATACTTTAATAAACTAATCACATGATATATGTCTCTATTATACCAGAAATATATTTCTTCCTGTAAAATTCTGTAGAACGTAACAAGATGATTAGAAAGACAAACCTCAAGGCACTTGTAAAAATAAGATTTTTATATGAGCTTACATCAACTTAAAACATCACATATACCCTAATAACATGCTATCTGATTTGCAGATCTGCAATGGAAAGAAAACAAAAACCGAAGTCCTATATATGCACATATGTCCCGACGAAGTAAGGTCTTATACTCACCCTACTTCCAATACTGGATTTTACAACTACAACGTTCAATGGATCTAATTGTATATAGACAAAGCGGAGATTACAAGCTTCAAAAACTAATTAAAGAATTTTTCATTGGAAAAGGGAAAAGAAAATTACAAGCTCCAATGTGAACAAAAATAAAATAAAATTATGATGTTGGTGGGGATGGCGATTTCCGCATGGCAAAATCAAAGAAAGGAGTCTCGTGAGCTGGTTTGGCGACTTTTTGTTGCGCCCGTGAATCCTGTCACTGTGTTGTTGGTATCTAAGACCAATGGTGGCCGGCATGGATCATTCCAGAGAATATATGAAGAAATTTAAACTGGCATCAATATTTATTTGACATGTGGCTACCGAAATGGATCTTGGGTTCTATAATTTTCAGTTCACAGCGTGTTTAATCAATCATTGTACCAACTTTTTTCTATTTGAATTAAAATATAATTGAAAAAAATGGAGATAACTTTTGGAATCTTAGTTGGGCCACACATCATATAATTTGGTTTCAACTTGTTAATTAAACGTGAAAATTTTGTGGTAGGCTGGTAGCAAAGCAATATTGAGTTTCACATTGTAAGTACTGATAAGAGTTTGTGATAGAAAACCAAAAGATACCAAATCTATGAAGATTAACTAAAGATTAATTCATCATAACCACCCTCAAGTGATTGGGTGAGGCGATAAAAGACTCTTAAGTGTATTACTCAAGAGGTCTTGAGTTCGATTCCTCTTCGATGCTAATAAGGGTGGTCACTAGAGGGTTTACCTTGTTATTAATTTTAAGGCCATTGGGGATTAGTCAAAGTACCCACAAGCTGACCAAAAAAAAGATTAACTTATCATTAGCAAAAATGATGTGAAATTCGTATGTTTTGTCTTTTAAAATATCTTTTAAAACATTAATATTTTTAAGCATGTGGATCAAAAGCTAGCTGACTAGTTACTAACTTTAATATTTTTCATTTTGTGAACCTAGTTATCTATCACTAAGCTTGGAGCATAAAAAAACTTCAGAACGTCTGTACTATACATTAATTAAATAAAAATTCTCAATGCAAACGTTTAAAGTTTTTAAAATACAACACAAAAGCTAATGGCTAATTATGATTTTTGGCTATGCAAAAATTTGCACCAACCAGACATGACCGACAGCATTAGAACCATAAAGATGTGTGTGGATCAGTAGGGATCCAAATTTTTTTTTAGGGTAGACCAAAATAAAAACTAATTACATATTAATATTTTTGTTAAGGTGAACCAAAATCCAAAAATATATAATTTAGTATTTTAAGAAAAAAAATTGAGGGTAGGCCAAAAGTGGCTGGATCCGCCCTGTGTGTTGATCTCGGTGGATCAATAGAATGATGAATGTGTAGGATTAACTAAAACACAAAGAACAAAAAAAACTTTTCTAAGTTCTTCGACCGCTTACTACATCACTGTTATGTTATTAAATAAATGACACATATATTGATTTACAAGAAGTTTGCAATTGGTTTCTGTAACAATTTCTCTATCCCTAAAAAATATATAAACTGGATTATATTGTTTAATTACATAGTGAGTTGGAGATGAACAAAATAATAAAACGGAGAGTTTTGTGATCTTCAACTTAATCATAGAATCCATACGAGATATACATGCCAAATGGATTTTACCATTCCAAATTTCCTGCACAACATTTTGATTTAGCATTTTTTGTGAAGTTAGGAAGCATTACTAACTTTAAATCATACCATAGAATTGTCAAAATGTTCCCAAATGATTGACTATATATATAATATAGCCACTAATGTTGTAATTGTAGCCATTGTCTTTGAACTTAAGATTAAAAAGAAACCAGTCGACAAAATGTGGATCAATTCTCTGCGGCTCCGTTGATTAAGATTTGAGGATCTCCACTGATTAGGCAGTGAAAATTAATTGAATCCGAGATTTCGGTGGTAGTAATCAATTAAAGGCCTTTTCATCTTCAATTTGACTGTAAAACAAAATTTGTACACTATCATTTCTAACAACCCACGGGGAATTAATTAATCTATTATTCTTAATGTGGCTTGACTAAAATAAGACAATTTATTAGCCGGCCTACAATTTTTCAGCCACATGCTACAAAATTTTAAGCACAATTAATAAATCTAAGTGCACACTTCTATTTCAATGCCACTTTAATATTTATCTTATGATTCATTTCCAAGAAATATTCAAAAAAAAAAAAAAACATTCTGTTTACCAAGAATTCTTCAAAGAGCTTATGAAATTTAGTTTCTGATATTAGGTTTTAAAATTGATTTTTTTTTTTTTTTTATGAAAAAATTTTATTTATTAGTTAGAAGAATTTAAAAGAGTTTTCCGCCTAAATTATTAATTTATTTAGACAATATAAATTATTTAAAAAATGTTTAAATGCTTTGAAAAACCACTTTTTGACTTGCAAAGACACTTTTTAAAACTTTTTCAGAAATTTTTTTTTAATCTTTTAAATAATATTATATTAAAAGTAGAAGTATTCTACAAAAAACATTCTGAACCACATTTTAAATAGGATCTAATTAATCAAAATGTGGAACTTCTCTCTCTTCTTATAAATGGTACAAGTAATTAATACAAAAACAAAACCCACAAAAAATTGCAACGTTTTATTCACTTTGATTGTATTTAATTTGACAATAAAATTAATCAAGATATAGATACTGCTACCTTCCCAGGAAACTGAAGAATGACAGATGATAGTTAGTACAATTAAAGATTTTTTTAATTCATTTGAAGAATGATTAAATAATTAATTAATTCGGCATAGTACTAACAGAATTAGAGCTGTTTTAATATGCTAGCTGTATCAAAGTATTTATTTATAATATTCCACATATTTTTTTTTAATATTGCACCAACAACTCTCTCTTGCAATTTTTCTCACGCATCTGGGGGACAACTCTAATTGGAACTTAATTAATTAGTGAGACCTATGTAAGACCCATATGGACATATCTGAATGATCAATTGTAAGTGTCATGTCAGATGTGAGAGAAATACGAGAAGGTTGTTGAGAGTAGTATATTATATTTTTTTAATTTAAATAACAATCTTCTACAACGTGGTGCACTCAGATTTATCTCAGTTTAGTTAGATTTCTTTTTAGTATTCAAGTCAAAGCTATGAACAAGCCCAAATTATTTATTTTGTTCTATAATCTAATTATTAATTATTGAAAAGATATTAAATAACATATTTCTATTCTCCACACCAAATTTTATAGTTTCCACCCAAATAAATTTCATGCTATTTTTCTTCCAAAACAATGTAGCAGTAAGTATGTAAAAGAAATCTTAAAATTAATTAGGAGTATGGTTTCAATATTTATTAAAAAAAAAAAAATTCATATCCTACAAAATCATAAAATTCATAGAAAAAATAATTCGTATATGTTATGTAAGTATTAATTTTTTTTTTTTATGACGAGGTGTCGGCAACTTAGAGACACTTAACTAATTACTCGAACCTAGAAATACCGATCGGGTAAGAGTCTAGGTGTACCTCTATTAGGGTGGTGAGAACTAAACTCGAAGAGACCATTTAGATATCTCTCTTGCTCTTCAATCAAGAGACTCAAACTTGGGAGCCATGTTAGATCATTCTTACTCTTTTCTATCAGGTCAACCGTGGTGGTTGTAACTTGTAATACTAACTTAACGAGTAAGATCCTTATAGAAGTGTTACTTAAAACCACTTTGGTTTAAATTTTAAATTCGAAAAATAAAAATTAAACAAAGAAGAATAATTCATATTCACCAGCTTTCCATATATCATACAAGATGAATCAAATTGAGACTTATTCACAAGAATTAATTTATAATTATATACATGTTTGATATAGTTTTGTCTTTTATTCCTGCGATACTGCCCAAATTTTATTTTTTTAAAATTCTAAAAATAAAAATAACAATAATCATTCCACCGGTTCTCTAGATTGTGGTAGCGGTGGATTCATCAAAAATAAAAAAGAATAGGCTATCTCCATATGAAATATAAGAAATAGTAAAAGTTGTAGCTCTAAGTCTCAGCCTTTAATAATTTGTTCCCCACATAAACAAATGTGGCAATCATTACGAACATGGGTGCCACCCCATTTTTCAAACCTATTCATTCTCTAACTCAACTTCACCAACTCCTTCCCTTTATCAATTACTATAATATAAATCACACTCATGCCACCTTGTTCCACAGACAGCCCTTATCCCAACAAGGCTTCATTCACAAACTCATCTCAGTCTATTTTTTGTGTTCTTTTGATCACCCAAGTTCCCAATTATGCAGCTTATAGCAGTCTCACGCCGCGAAACAGCGGCGGCTACAAGGGCAGGTGAACCAATTTTTGCTCCCACAACGCCCGCGCGCGGCCATGAGGATGCGCCCGTTGCAGTGGGATTATAAGCTGGAAAACTACGCAAAGTGGTATGCGAATCAGCGGAGGTCGATTGCGCGTTGCAGCATTCGAATGGACAGTACGGGGAGAATA